GAGGGTGGAGGGACAGCGCAGGAGAGGAAGGCCCTCTATGAGGTGGATTGATTCAGTGACTGGGATAATTGGGATGGGAGTGTCAGAGACGGTGCGATTGGCACAGGACAGAGCGGAGTTTAGGGCTGTTGTACATAGGGTTGCTATGAGACGCAAGCGACTCGATGGCACATAACAACAACAACATTAGTGAACATTTACAGAGATTTTGGATTTTCATTCATTCATTGTTGCACTTTTCCCCCTGCCTCCCACTCAGTTCACTCCTCTCTTTGAAAAGTAAAAGAAAAATTCTTTCATTTGTATACAATCCCCCACCCACCCCCGCCCTGAGTACACTCCATTATGCAACCTTAATTCTGAACTCTTGTGATAACCATAATACCCTATCATATATCGCTTTCAAATTGTTCTCGCCCTCATCTGTTTCAATGCAGTACACATCATTTATCCAGTTTTTCTCAGTCTTACCCCAACCCTGATGTCAGTCCCATTCTACAGCAGTGGCACCATGCAGTATTTATTTGTCCTTTTGTGACTGAGATATTTCACTCATTATAATGTCCTCCAGGGTCATTCATTTTGAATAATATTGCATGAGTTCCTTGTTTTTCAGAGATAATAACTTCCCCCGCACTCCCATCCTCTTCACAATGCAACTTTTGTTCCAGATTGTTATCATATATATAATGCCGAATTATATATATTCCTTTCAGACAGTTCTTCCCCTCAACTGATCTAATGCATTGTGCATTATCTATCGACTCTTTTCCCATTTTCTCCCCAACCCTCTCATGTCTGTTCTATTTTATAACAGTGATGTTACGCTGTCTTTGTCCTTTTGTGACTGAGATAGTGTCCTCCAGGTTCCCCAGTGTTGTGTAATGTTTTACGAGCTCATTGTTTTTAATGCTGTGCAATATTCCATTGTGTTAATGTACCATAGTTTTTCTATTCATTCGTTGATGGGCTGGATCACATTTCAGTATCAAGAAAGCAAACATCCTCACCACAGGATCAATAGGCAACATCATGATAAATGGAGAGAAAAAATGAAGTTGACAAGAGTTACATTTTCCTTGGATCCACAATCACTACCCATGGTACTAGCAGCCATCAAAAGACTTGTATTGGAAAAGTATGCTGTCTAAAACCTCTCCATAGTGCTCAAGAGCAACGATTCCAGTTTAAAGACTAAGATACTCCTGATCCCGGCCATGGTAAAGTTGGACAATGATAAAGGATGCCAGAAGAAGAACTGATCCTTTGAATTGTGGTATCATAGAAAACTACTTGGTATCCAATGGACTACAAAATGAACAAACAAGTATGGCTTGGAGAAAATGCCACTGGAGTGCTCCTTGGAGGCAAAGATGGTGAAACTTTGTCTCATATACCTTGAGCATGATGTCAGGAGGGACCAGTCCTTGGAAAAAGAACTATTCTGGGAAAGGTAGGGGTTAGGCTGTTGAGTTCTCTCCATCCCTTTCCCAGCAGCTGTTACTCTCTTTGTTTCTATTACAGATGCAAAACTGTTCTACCTCTGTTTCCTGGAATAGCTATCTGCAACCCCTGGTTTACTTCCCTACTTGTAAAAAACAACTGTGAATATCCCCTTCCCAATTTCCTTGTAAGATAATATAAAACCCCACTCTAACTTTAAGTAGGGCCTGGTCTCTAGAGTCAGCCTGACAGTTTCGCCTCAATAAATTGTCTTTCTTGGCTTGAACTGGGTTCTATCTTACTTGGCGACTTTATATTAGGAAGGTCAGAGAAAGAAAGGAAGACCCTTGACAAGTTGAACTGAGCTGGAACATAGCAGAGAATGTGCAGATGGTAACGTTCAGATCTGCTGTTCATAAGGTTCCTATGAGTCCTAGTCAACTCAACTCAGTGGCACCTAATAACACACACACACACACACACACACACACACACACACACACATACACACATCCTCCCCATCCTCCGCCAAACATATATATTCAAATTCTAAAGAATTCAGCCTAAGAGAATATAACAAAAGCAATCTGTTTGAAGACTCAGTGACTTCTCCAAGACTAAATCTGAACACAACACACCCAGTGCAGTGGAGTTGGAAGCCACCAGGCCTCCAATGCTATAACTCTTCACAAGGAAGTCCTGGTGGACTAGGAGTAAGGAGTTGAGCTGCCAACACAGAACGCTTTTAGTCTGAAACTCCTAGTTGCCCTGCATGAGAAAGATGGACAATCTCTATCCATGTGATTTACAGCCTCTGAAAACCCACTGGAGAGTCAGCTGTGAGTTGGTTCTGAATGGATGGCACATAATAACAAACCCTTATTGAAAGGAAACCATCTGTTTCTTTCATGAGTGTGTTGGTAGTTTTGAACATCTGACCTTTAGGTTATGCATTCTGCCACCAGAGATCCTTTACAAAACAGAGGGCAGGGGAAGAAAAATGTTATTATGTAGAACTGGGTCAGGCCAAATCCTGCTTGCTACCCGGTGGGCTGGTTGGTTGTGGTGGTTTGTTGGTTGTGTTTTGGTTTCTTTTTCCTACCTGGGTTTTGTAAATAAATCTTTATTCAAGCACAGCCACGTTCATTCTTACCATATTGTATATGGCAGTTTTCACTCTACACAGCTTTTGCTCTATGATAACTTGAGTAATGTGGTTGCCACAGAGCACTGTTGACTATCTGGCCTCTTTATATCTCTTAAGAAAAGCCCATGATACGGAATGATGGAGAAGGGAGGGGCGACAGGTGTGGGGAAGATGGCCTCAACAACAAATTAAGATTAAGACACAAGATCTTTTGCAAATCACCGCAGAATTAGAGTTCCTGAGGCTGAGACTGGCTACAGGACCTGGCGTTGTTTTCCTCTGTTGTACACAAAGTCGCTGTGTACAAGACCTAAGAACTACAACAAATCTTCAGGAAAGAAGCCTGCCTCTTCTGAGTGGTTGGTGGTTTCCAGCTTCTGACTGATCTTATGTTTGGCAGTCAAATACTTCAGTCACAGCACCACCAGCGCTTTGAAATGCAAATTCCTCAAGTTTCACCCTGCAGCTGGGGCCAAGGAATGTAAGCCCCCAGGGATTCTGATGTAAACTAAATTAAGAGGAAATTTTGTGCAGCAGTTCCACTTTGTAACACATGGGGTTGCCTTGAGTCCTAATTGACTGGGCGGAAACTTTTTTTTTGTCTGAATGCTTTAACGAGAAAACCAGTGGATGGCCTAGAATTAGAAATAAAATATTGAGGGTACTGCCCCCCCCTTTAATGTGGGGCCGCCCCTGTCAGGTTCCTACCTTTCTGGGGACCTACTGACCCCAAAAGGCTGCCCTGGGCTTTGGGGTCCTTCCTTCTCGTGCTGGTGATGGCGTGGGGAGTAGATTTAAGGTCAAATGGTCCCGACAAGCATAGAAAACTGACCTCTGTTTTTCTAATACCTAGAAAAATCAAGACAGACAGGAGTTTTTCTGAGCACCAAATAATAAACCCAAGCACCGCCCAGAATTTAAGGAGGAAAACTACGGCGGCAACAACAGGTTTAAGTGCAGTATGTTAACTGTGAGGATGGCGAAGGGCTGAGCGAGGTTTCCTTCTCTTGCTCGGCCGCTGTGAGTCTGAGGCGACCTCGGGACACCAACAACTACAGCAGGAACCCGAGGGTGTCTTCTGGATGGGACGGGCCCGCGAGCCGCTCTGTGGACGGAGGCTTTGCTCGCTCAGCGGGCTCCGACCTCCAGAGCGACCGCAGCCACGGGGTGCGGGCCCGGGGCGCGCCGCCCACAGACGTTCGGGGCCCGGGGAGAGCGGCGGGCGGCGCACAGGCGAGCGGGCGCCATTTGTAGCCGCGGGCGCAGCGGCGGCGACGCGCCG